CAGTTTGTGGGTCAGCCTCTGAGTGGCAGTGTTCTAGGGTTGGCCTCTGAGGCTATAGGGCCTCTCTGTCCAGTGGAAGTTCACTGCCCAGAGCTGGCTGTGTAATAGTTACCAGCGCTGTGTTGTTGCTGGGATTGAAAATCCCTCTATAGGCCAGACCCTGTTAACTCCCAGGGACTGATCAGGTTATTTTAATCCTTGATCTCCTACATGGTGGAATCTGGGTGTGGCTGTGCTCCTTGCCTGGGGGCTGGGGGGAGGAGTCTCACTTTCCGGAGAGAATGGCTGCCTCAGTCCTGGGCTCAGGGGTGTCTCAGCACTCAATTCGCTGCCACCTCTCCCGGCCCCCCTTCTCTCCTCAGTCTCTCCCCAGATTCCACTCCTCCGCACCCTCTCCCTCTCTTCAGCACAGGTGAGTGTCTGTATCCGAAATGTCCCATTAACAGGATTCAGTGAAAACAAACAAACAAACGCCGGCCGTGGAAACGGGGAAGGCTTGGTTTCTGTAAGCTTCTTCTCTTACCGGGACTGCATGGTCTGGTCAGCTCTTCAGGCTGCTGCCTTTAGGCTCAGTCTTCCGTGATCACAGAACCCAGCTCTCAATTCCCCCGGCGCCAGGAATCCCGCAGTTCTCCTTTCCCCCGTCAGGGGCTGTGCCTGTCCCAAGGGACGCGGCTGTCTGCCACGCGGTCTCCCTCCGACTCTCTGGGCTCAGAGGTCTGGCAAACTTTCCTGCCCAAATCCCTGGTTTTTTTTTTACCTTTCCAGGGGAGTTCTGCTCTTCCCGGCTGCAAACCGTCTCACCAGCTGAGCAATTTCGCCAATTCGGGGTGGATGATACTAGTTTCAGCTGCTCACTCCATTTGCTCCGGGACACGACCTGGGACGCGTCTGCCTATACCGCCGCCATCTTCCGTCCCTTCCTTCAAATTCACTAATTCTTTTTCAAATCATTGACTGTCACACATTTTTTTTTTTTGCAAATAATTAACTGGATTAATAAATGCCACAGTGCTGCTAGGATTTCATTATTTTTTAGGAGGTGGTGGTATTACTTACTAGTCTACCATGAAGTGTTATCATAAGTAATTAAAATAAAACTACTGTACTTGCTGGAGTAAATGAGGCTGGAGAAAGTTCCTAAGATGAAGTAGCAATTTTCTCATCAATGCATTTCACCTATTTCTCCCTGTTATGTTTACAGACACCTAGTTAACCTCATTGGGCGGAGATGCGAGTCATGAAATCAAACAGATGGGGATGTGAACTGAAATTCCTCTTTGCGTATGATGGGGCTTGTATGATTTGCAGATTAACACTTGTGTAAATGGCTTTCGATACGTTGTCTCAATTTTAAGACTCTTTTTTAGAATGCCCAGTGATTCCACATTTGAGCTCTATCCCCTTGACAGATACTTGGTGTTAACACCCCATTTCTGCTTTTTACTTCTTGCTGTCTACCTCTTATTGGCAAAATAAACTAAGGTCTGACTTTGGCAAAATAAAATCTAAAAATGTATTTATTTATTCTCCAAATGTATTTGAGTACTTACCTCATTCCAGGCTCTGGGTTAGGCTCTACAGGCCAGGATGAACAAGTCATGGGTCCTGGAAGGGCTGCCTGCCTGGCGGGCCAGACAGTCCGCACATAATTGCAATTGAGTATGATAAATGCTGTAGTTCAGGCCAATGCAAAAAGCCACACGGTAACTGAGTAGGGAACAACCAAAATGAGAAGTTGGGCAGCTTGGAAAGCTCTTCCTGCAAAAGCATTCACCTCTTAAAGATCCACAGTCAATAGCAATTTAACCTGTTTTAGAAAAAGAGCAGGAAAGGTCTCATCTTCAGCGCTGCTTCTCAAGGCCGCAACATGCAGACTTCTCAGACATTAGGCCACAGACGAATGCCGTCACCACTCAAGTGCATTAGGCTGCAGGTATGAAAAGCCTGACCCAAGTGGCTTAGCAACCCAGGCCTTTGTTTATTGGATCAGCCAGAAGTCTGGGGAAGGCAGACCTGTTTTGTTCAGCAGTTCAACAGTCACTGACGACATCCTTCTACTCCGCCAGTTCTCCACATGGTCCTCTGAGGGCTGTGGCAGCTGAAAGCTCTGTGACCTCCCGTAGCTGAGTATATCCAACCACCCCCAAACTTGGGGTGGTGATATCCCTGTCTGAGCACCCTCACTTTCTCACTGTCTTATGCTTTGCCCCTGTGCACCTGCTCACTTGCTGGCTGGCTGCTTGCTTGAGCTGAGCTTTGGAGGATGGGGATGAACTGAGCCTCAAAGGCGCCTTGCCTGCTAGGCTCCCTGGTCAAGACTGGAGTGTCTGAGGGGATTTTCATTTCCAACTTTGGGGTTCATTCTGTTCTTTCTTTGACCCATAGTCTCTACTGGTGAGGTGTTTTGGGACAAATGTCATCTGTCTTTGAGTATGAGCAATATAACATAAACTGATATCACTATAAATTCTTTTTTAAGACATCAGTAGTGACTGTACTGAAGGGTTACAGTCAGTAACTTATTTGAGTCTTACATACTCACTCTCCCACACTGACATACTGACACACTGATGAACACCTGATGTTAGCATTACTTTGGGAATATGGATGATGTTCCTTCTCTTCCTTCTGCCCTCTGCCCTCTCCTCCCTCTTTTATATTTTTTAGTACAACAGAATTTTTGTGTTGAACATGTATTATACTAGAAATTTGATGAAATATTTAAACGAAATAAAAATTAGCGGGCATTGTTTATGTCCTTTGCTTTATATGTTTACTGCCTCACTTTTTTTGACTGCCAGAGGAGAGCTGGATCTCATATTTTTTATAACATCACACTGAGGCTTATAAAATACAATTTATACATTATATGACTAAGGATTTGGACCTAAAATCCTTGACCAAATTTGTTGTTGTTTTGTTTCTGTGATGAGACATATGAACATTAGAAAATTAAAATGGGGTCTCTTAGACATGGCTGACTGTGGAGGACAGGGCTGTATTCTTCACTGTTTCTCTCTTGGGTAGAGAGACTCTAAGATGATTAAATGGAGCGGGACACAGGAGGTTTTGAGAATAAGAGTTTATTTTTCCAGGTCATAGCTTTCAACGAAGGTCAGATGTGGCCCAGAGACTAAGTGGAATATAATTAATGATTTGGCAGTTCCATACCTACCTGGTGGATAGACTCATTCTGGCAAAAGCACTCATGTGGTGTCTTGCTCCTTCAGAGGACATAATTAGCTTGGAGACCGACTGCTGGACTCAGGATTAACTTCTGTAAAATGTCCCTTCAGCCAAGAGTCTAAGACAGACGCCTGGAGAGTGTGCACTGACGTTTTAGTTGTTGCTGTTTCTTGACCCACTTTCAGAGTTGAGATTTGTCCCACAAAGTGGAAGAATCGGGAGGATAGTAAAGTGACTGCACGCGCTCAATGGGATCGCAGTACCTGATCCCGAGAAGGAACAGGGCAGCTGTATCTGCCCTGCTGAGGATCTCTCCCTCCATGGACATGTCTCTTCACAGACAATGCCAGGCTGACAACAGTAGAGTCGTATGTTCTCATTTACGTGAAACAAATCTCCTGGACCCTAAAAAGCATTTTTCTTTTTCAGATGTTAACATCTCTGAGTCAGCAAGTGTTTGGCTGCGGACAGCCTCCCTGCAATGGCTGCCAGCCGGGCAGCAGCAGGGGTGCAGTTGGGTCGTCCTTCCCTCTGGCACAATTGGACACCTGAGCCTTTGATGTTGCCATCAGCAAACCATTCAAGGATCTTCTGAGGAAAGGATATGAGTCACGTTTTCAAGTCTGAAAATGTTGACACCTGGTAATGCCAAGAAAGCACAGGCATCAAAGCTTGAGGATGGGTGTGAGTGGGTAGGAAGAACATCTCAGAGACACAGAGGAGCACTCTGTTAAGCAATGCTGTATTGCTAACAGTCTTAAGGGCACAGGGAAAAATATTTATGAAAAAACCCTGACATCAGAGATTCAGAAGTGATTCAGAGTTTGGACTCTGAATGTGAAGACATTTTAGATACTTTAACAATTTAACATATTTTTTCCTAAGCGTTCACAAGAGTGATAAATGATAAAAAAAAAAATCTATAAGTAGCCCTAACTGGTTTGGCTCGGTGGGTAGAGCATTGGCCTGTGGACTGAAGGGTCCCAGGTTCGATTCCAGTCAAGGGCATGTACCTTGGCACATCCCCAGTAGAGGGTGTGCAGGAGGGAGCTGATCAATGTTTCTCCCTCATTGATGTTTCTAACTCTCTATCCCTCTCCCTTCCTATCTGTAAAAAATCGATAAAATATATTTTTAAAAAATCTATAAGCAAATCTAAAAGAGCATTTTCAATAAGTATACATAAAAAATTCTAAGTATAGGAAAGCATTATATCATAGTTTAGTTGGAAATACTTTTCTTAGTGACATAAAAAATAATGGTACAAAAAATAGTACATCTTAAAGTTTATTTTTTTCTAGATTTAATTTACGTGTGATTTCCTTCCTTTTCCTTCCTTCCTTCCTTCCTTCCTTCCTTCCTTCCTTCCTTCCTTCCATTAAAAAAAAAAATGGAGAACATACAAGAAACTGTTAACAGAGGGGAAGGACTTGGGTTTCTGGGTGCATGTGACACTTTTCCTCTATAATCTTTTGCTCACTTTATTTTCATTTCTATCAGAGCTACATGCACTATAAGTTTACATAGCAAATAGTTACCTCCCGAGGTTACCACCAGCAGGACTTTTATATTACTATTTCGTGACTTTTCTTTCAGTGGTAGGTGTTATCTATTGACTCAGTCTTGGAAGATGAGCATTTACTCTCTTACCCTGTCCTGCTCAAGACACACTCACCCTCTTGTATCCTCACCTTTCACTTGTATTACCACATTTGATAGATCAATATTTACTCTACATTATTATGACTAAGCAAATGATATTCATAGGTGAACCAGATAGTACACTGATTACTTTTCTTGTTTGCCTTGAATTAATAACTGGGTCGTATTTATTTTCTTTAATTGCTTGGTTTCTTTATGTACTTATCAGAAATTCAGCCCCAGAACGCTTTGACCAGTGAGAAATAATGATTCTTTTCTTTCTCCTGCCAGGGCTAATTGTGTTTGTATTATTCTACTTTGAATTTCAGCTAATGCTTTAACATTTACATTCATAATCATAAGATCCCTGGGGCTTATTTTGTTCATCTTCGAAGTCCCAGAGTTCCTAGCTTAATACTTTCCAAGTAGTAGGACTCAGAAAAAACTTGCTTTTCACTGGTGGCGTCTTCTGTTTCCAGGTACGTTGGCTGCAAGAGAGAGAATCAGAATATGAGATGCAGAAACACCCTAACCGGGCTTTTAATATCAAAGAGTCAGTTTTTTACATGCTTGGGACAGACCAGAAAGCCTAATCCAGGGTTATGGAGCTTTGCCGTGAATGTCAGAGTTCAGCACAACCACGAGGACCCTGAAGCGACTTTGCTAACAAGCCCTTGGTGACATCAGCTCCCATCTCTCTGGGGGAGTGAGTGCCGCAGGTTGCATTGCAAACTGTCACTCCTGCTCTGGTTTCTTCTTGGAGTTCACAGCACTGCATTCTCACTTTTTCTAATTATTACTGTGGAAGCAATGGAATTTCCCTTTGTGTTGAGATTTAGACACTGTCAGAATACTTTAATATGTTGTTAAGCTTATAGCAGGGAGGTAGCCATTGTAATGGTTATCTTGAACACTGGAAGTTGTTTGAGCTTTATGAAACAAATGATTTAATCCAAGACAGGAAATTAAAACAAATTCAGTGAGGTCACCATGAGTTTAGCAACGGCTGGGGTGATTAACAATAGATGTGATTTATGAACTATTGCTGTCCCCTACAATTGTGTTTTGCCCATTGTTTCATAAGCTTTAACATCATCTGGCCTTAGAGGTTTTCATTTCCAATGGGTAAAAGGCTCTGTAGTAAAAGGGTTTAGCAACAAGGAAGTCTTTATCTCTTTTTACGTTAAATGTCAAGAAACACAGTGGAGAGGATTTGTAATTTGTGATAAAACTTAGAATGAGGTCAAATACAGTTATACAGAAGACTTCACCTCCACCTCATCATTCTTTGTAGCTACCTGGGTCATCAGTATTCTGTATATTTTAATTAGCAGCTCAGAGAAGGAATTTATAACATAGTACCTGAATGAGGAATGTGCTATTGGTTTCCAGTAATTTGATGGATCCTTTCTTACAGGGAGTCTCATTTTCTGATTTTATATTTTCCCTTCTTAAATGGGAGACTTGAGTTTTTTTCTGCTCCCACATTCTCACCAGATGGACTAAGAAATAAATAAATCTTTCTGGTGATTCTCTGAGGGGAAAATAGGGACCTGGGATGGTGGTGACAATGGGGAAGAATTGTGAAGAAACAATATTTTTAGAAAAGTCAAGAAGCAAGAGAGCAAGAGAAAACTTGCAACATAATTTGCAATAATAAGTTGCAATCAGATGGAAGTCCCAAGCTTTTGAAATGGACTTCTGTATTAATCAGTCTCATAGGAAAACACATTATTGTAGGAATTTCAAACAGTGGGGATTTATAATGGGAATTGATTCCAAAGGGGTTGAAGGGGGCTAATTGGAGCAGAAGGAAGAGGTGGAAGGTTATGCAAAATGAATAAAAAGGAAACATTTCAGGGGCAAATTACTTTACCCAAAGTACAGGATGGCTGTTCTCCAGGGATCCACCGATGGAAGTGAGCAGGAATCCATGAGCCAGCACTCCCAGGTCACTGCCACGGCTCCTGTGGCTGTCACCACTGTTCACATGACCTGGGTCTCTACCACAGCTGTGCTCAAAGTCCCCAGCTGGGCTCTCTCCACTACACAAGAGGCTTTAGGATGATGCTTCTTCTCCCCCTCTACCTTCCAGTCTCCCGACGGTGCTCCTGCTGGTGGGACCTAATGGCGAGGGATCTTGAGAAATGATATTCACAGGGTCTCAGCCTTGTACAATACAGAACACAGCATACCAAAAAAAAAAAAAAAAAAAAATCTGAATTTGTGTCCTTGGTTTAAGGAATCACAAAAGGTATATCGGGCCCGTTTAATGTAGAACATGAATTTCAGAGGCCAAGTAACCACACTTGGGTAGGATGAGTGGCAACGTTTGAACAATGGAACCCTTAGACCTGGCCAAGAAGGGTCTGTCTTCTTTGGCCTTTCTCCAGCTGCGAGGAGTCAATGGGCCACGGTCACAGGCCCTCCTCACCTTAAACACCACACTCCCAGTACCAGGACCCCCGAATTCCCTGCCCCAAAGGCCAAATTGGAGCCCACTCCAGAACCTGCACTGGCCACTTCCTGGTTTATCCTCCCAAGAGCAAACGGGCTTAAAGGTTGTCCAGGGATGACTGCACTGGAAACTTGTTAAAAATGGCAAGACAGACTTTATTTGAACTGCAGTAATAGAGGAGAGAGGCTTCAGTGTAGAGTTGAGCTCAACTTCCACCCTTATCCCCTGTCCCAGTTATGCCCCAATTAATTAATTATCTGCCTAGATTTAGTGGGACATACACAGGTGACCAGGGGTCAGCAATAATGGCCTATCCCCTGGTACTTTAATGTCTAGACCAGTGGTTCTCAACCTTGGCTGCACATTAGAATCACCTGGGAATCTTTTTAAAATCCTGATTTCTGGGCCTCATCCTCTGGAAATTCTGTTTCTTTGTTATGGGGTGAGACTCTAGACCAGCGGTTCTCAACCTGTGGGTTGTGACCCCGTTGGTGGTCAAACGACCCTTTCACAGGGGCTGCCTAAGACCATCCTGCATATCAGATATTTACATTACGATTCATAACAGTAGCAACATTACAGTTATGAAGTAGCAACGAAAATAATTTTATGGTTGGGTCACAACATGAGGAACTATATTTAAAGGGCCAGAAGGTTGAGAACTACTGCTCTAGACAGTTGAGCCGAACTGGAACACATGAACACAAAAGACAGAATTAGCATGCAATCACACAAGGTTTATTTACCTGTTCCCAGTGGGTCCTAGGCTCCGGCAAAGGCCACCCAGCAATGCACACCGAAAGACGGATGACAAAGACGGAGACAGACAGGCGGCCACAGATGGTTGAGGCTCGCACAGCAGAGCAGTCAGTCAGGGGCTCATCTCATGGAACGTCCTCCTCTTACCAGGCAGGAGACGTTGACTGAAGAAGGTCCGGTGCTTATATTTGCTGGTAGTAAACAACTTGTGTCTTATGGTGTGCCTTAGGCTAGGAGCAGAGCATTTACACTTTAAGGGCTTAGGGCAGCTGTGGGCAAACTACGGCCAGCGGGTCGGATCCAGCCCGTTTGAAATGAATAAAACTAAAAAAAAAAAAAGACCGTACCCTTTTATGTAATGATGTTTACTTTGAATTTATATTAGTTCACACAAACACTCCATCCATGCTTTTGTTCCGGCCCTCCCGTCCAGTTTAAGAACCCATTGTGGCCCTCGAGTCAAAAAGTTTGCCCACCCCTGGCTTAGGGCGTTTACATCAAAATAGTGGGCCATTCACCATGCTCATAACATTTTGGAAGTTACAGAATATTGGGGTCTCCACACAGCAAACATTTCACACAATAATCATTTCACACATTAAAGGGGTTTCCTTATGACCATAACAGTATAACATCTCCTCACCCCCTAGAGCAGTGGTTCTCAACCTTGGCTGCATATTAGAATCACCTGGGAATCTTTTTAAAATCCTGATTTCTGGGCCTCGTCCTCCGGAAATTCTGTTTCTTTGTTATGGGATGAGGCCACAACATTAGTAACAAAGAAACAGAATTTCCGGAGGATGAGGCCCAGAACTCAGGATTTTAACAAGATTCCCAGGTGATTCTAATGTGCAGCCAAGGTTGAGAACCACTGCTCTAGGAAGAGAATATGGGTTTCACCTGTGGCCGACTTAAGTGATTGGAAGGGGAGGTTTGAGAGATTGAGGGAGGATGAGTCAGCAAGTGAAGGAGAATCCTCTCCCTTCTCTTTTTACCCCATGCCAAGCCCCAAAGAAAATTATGGATTGTGATAGGCAAGGATGTTAGTTTTGAATACATGTGTCCCTATTTGGTATGAACCACGGCTTTACACATTGAAATAAAATTCTGATGTTTAAATGTTAAAGTCGAAAGATAAAGCATCTAACAACTTGTTAAATTGATTTATAGCTTTTAAATGTTTAGACATATGGTAGGTGAGACTGTCTTTATACTCTTGCCTCAGGCCCTGCACTGTTAGGAAGGGGCTGCAAAGTTATTGACTGGCCTGCAGCACAGGCTCAATAAGGGGCCTGAGAAGTTCCCAGGCCCAGGGGTAGAATGGACAGATGCCTAATTGCACATGTATAATTGATAGAGGGCTATAACATGGATAATTGAGAGAGGGCTCTGTGACATAGAATTGATTAAGGGGCAGGTAAAAGGATTCATGAAGGGAGATAATGGGAAAGAGGGAAGAACACGGGTCTAGAAGTTGGTATGAGAGTGTTTTGAGTCGCGTGGCCTGCCACAGTCTCTGAACTGGTTACAGCCAGGCTATGTCCTCAGGGGCGCATGTGTGGCAGGAGACGCTAGTGCCCTTGGTTAGAATTTAGCCTGAGATAACAGGATCCTTTCCCAGGTACCAACACCAGTCTTGCACATTTTTAGTTGATCATCTAGAGAACATAAATGGCCTGATGGGATTGTGAGGGAAAGTTGAGAAAATTCATGTGAAATGGCTTTGAAAATAGCAATGAACTATGCAAATGCTGGATGACAGTGTAAGAAGCAGCAACTTGGCTTAAGCTGTTTTTCCTCAAAAGTTTTAGTTCCCTCTATTGGGAGGATATTTTGTGGTACCAAATTTTAAAAAATGTATCTTTAATGTTGAAAGTATTACAGATGCCCCTTTATTTTCCCCATTGACACCCGTACCCATCGCCCCGTCCTGCACCCGCTCCCTGCCCCAGGCCTTCATCACACTATTGTCCGTGTCCATGGGTTATGCAAAATGCATACAAGTTCTTTGGTTAATCTCTCCCCCCTCCCACCTACCCCCATCTTCCCTCTGAGATTCATCAGTCTGTTCCATGCTTCTATGTTTCTGTGTCTACTTTCTTCATCACTTTATTTTGTTCATTAGATTCCACATATGAGTGAGATCATATGAGACTTGTCTTTCTCTGACTGGCTTGCTTTATGGGACACAAAGGGGTTCTGTCTTCTTAAGTGGACTGGGTTTAAGTTGGGTGATATTTTTGTGGGTGCACTCGGGGAGCCAAGGATAAGTCATGCAATAGATTCCATGTTGTAGCAGGGCCAGTGATACCTCTGCTCCTTCACCATTAGCCAGTCTGAATACTCTGGTCCCACCAGGGGTTTTTAGCTCCAGATAAATGACTGAAACTTTGTTAGTCCAGTGGGGTTAATAACATGTGTTGCTTTTTCTGTTTTTACCAGTTTGTGTGGGACTTACAAAAGAAGGAAAGGAACACAGAAACATGTACTTAAAGTATCGCCGCTGCTTATCTGCTTTTTCAAATTCAGTCTCCGTAGTCAGCAATCTGGCAACATTTGCCAGCATTAGTTTTATTCCATTTGTATTCCAAGTCGCAGTTTCCTTTGCGATGCACTTTAGTGCTTAAGATCTATTTGTCAGCTGTTATTTAAAGGAACGAGTAAATTTGTCAGTATTCAGTAAACAAAATAACCCAGAGAGAAGAAAGTTTGAATCTGATTTTGCTAAATGTAAGCTACAATGAAGAGGCCTAGTTAACCAATCACATGTAAGTTAGTCACTTTTACCATAGGTTAGTTGATTTTAATTTCTCTAAAGACCCAGGTTCCAACTCTTGTTATAGTGGGCATTTAAATAACTCACTTGTTTCCTGAGCCACATCCAATACCTTTTAGGAATTGCTCAATATCAATACTCATATTTTATGCCAGGATATCCTCAGTGAAGTATTCTAGATCTGTTAGGGAGCTAATTTTTAATGTGTGTTGTGTATCTTAGGGAAGTAACTGGGAGGCACTTTTAAAAAATACATATTTTTATTGATTTCAGAGAGGAAGGAAGAGGGGGAGAGAGAGAGAGCAACATCAATGATGAAAGAGAATCATTGATTGGCTGCCTCCCGCATGGCCCTTACCAGGGATCGAGCCTGCAACCCAGACATGTGTCCTGACCTGAATCAAACTGTGACCTCCTGGTTCATAGGTCTATGATCAACCACTGAGCAACACTGGCTGGGCTAGGAAGTACTTTTTAAGATAGAAAGAAAAAAAGGGAAATGTTTGTAGAAAGTTAGAGTCTCCTTTTTTAAAAAAATATTTTTTTTTATTGATTTCAGAGAGGAAGAGAGAGGGAGAGAGAGATAGAAACATCAGTGATGAGAGGGAATTATTGATTGGTTGCCTCCTGCACACCCCCTACTGGGGATCGAGCCCACAACCCCTGGCATGTGCCCTTGACTGGAATCGAACCTGGGACCCTTTGGTCCACAGGCTGATGCTCTATCCACTGAGCCAAACTACCTAGGGCTAGATTCCTCTTAAACAGGCCTTTCTTCACAATTAAAGATATAAAGCCACTGCTACAAATTAAACAAAATTCAGATGGACGTATGAGAACCTCAGCCTTCAATTTTAAGAAGCGTGTTGCTTTTTAGCACAGGAATATAAGTCAATGATTCTTGCTTAGATTCGGTAGGCTTTTTTGCTACTGCAGATTGCATATGGGAGCAACTCAATGCTCTTCTCCCCATCCTTCCAACATCAAGGTTTCAATAGCAGCTTGGAAAAGGAATAATGAGTTTGTAAGCCCTCGTCTTCTAGTTGAAGTTAATGAAAGGTTCATTATAACTGCCGCCTATTTCACGTTTGGTTCGTATTATCACACAGTCTGAGTGGACCCACATAGTGGCCATGAAAAGGCCTAGCATAGCCATGTGGTTTCTCCTGTACTTTACCGGTTTAGACAAGCAGAGATGAAACTCAAGTCCTCTCCATTATCCGAAGCACTGGAGGCGGATTTTGTGTCTTTCTGTTTCCCTGCTCTGCATATTGGATCTTTCCTGTGGCACATCCAGGGTGAGCTAGGTGAAGAATCAGTCACGTGCCACATAACTAGTAGCAACAGACAGCCCCTGGTGTTTGAGTCACTTACTCGAGACTTCTGTACCTGATCCCCTCGTTAATTCCAGACCCAGCTTTGTTTTAATCAGTCCCCTCCAGTCTCTAATCTTACAGTTAGATCCTTACTCTGACTTGCATGGATTGGACTGTAGTTCTTCCTCTCCTAGGCAGATGGCCTTGATTCTGTGTTGTGCCATCGGTGGAAACTTTATGTTCTAACTCAAGTTTTATGGGTTCCAGTTCCCATCATTGGTTACTTGACCAGCCTAGAACCTTTTTGAGCAGCAACCACTGCAATGCAGTAAGTTGCCTAAAATCCTCTTCTCTTTCACGTCCTCATGTTTCTCTCTTAACTGTTGCCGACCATCCCAACTCTGTGTGCCATTAGATCTCAGGTGTGTGGATGAGTATTCTTTTTTTATGCTAATGGTCAGATATAGCAAATGCCAAGTAAATAAATATATAACCACATTTAGATGTTAGTCTTTCATTCTTGATCATTGAGAATAAAAGCCTGTTATCAAGACAGTAGTACGTAAGCGCCCCTACGTTCATAGCAGCGCAATTTACAATAGCTAAGACTTGGAAACAGCCTAAGTGTCCATCAGCAGATGAGTGGATAAAAAAACTATGGCACACTTACACAATGGAATACTACACATTAAAAAAGAAAGAACTCTTACCATTTGCAATGGCATGGATGGACCTAGAGAGTATTCTGCTGAGCGAAATAAGCCAGTCAGAGAAAGATAAGTATCACATGATCTCACTCATATGTGGAATCTAATGAAACAAATAAACTGATGATCAAAAATAGACCCAGAGTCATAGAAGCATAAACAGACTGTTGAACCTCAGAGGGAAGGCAGGGGAGGGTGGGTGGGAAGAGATCAACCAATGAACTTGTATGCATATATGCATAACCAGTGGACAGACAATGGGGTGGTGAAGGCCTGGAGGCAGGAGCAGGCTGGAAGAGGTTAATGGGGAAAAAGGAGGACTTATGTAAT